GGGGTAGTGGTAGTGGTAGGGGTAGGTGTAGTGGTAGGGGTAGTGGTACGGGTAGTGGTACGGGTAGGGGTAGGGGTAGTGGTAGGGGTAGGGTAGTGGTAGGGGTACGGGTAGTGGTAGAGGTAGTGGTAGGAGTTGTAGTAGTGGTAGTGGTAGAGGTAGTGGTAGGAGTAGTGGTAGTGGTAGGGGTAGGGGTAGGGGTAGAAGTAGTAGAAGTGTGGTACAGGCCGATCTAATGTGACGTGGTGACCTATACGACGTGGCCTGACCCAGTGTGACCGGGGATGACCAACTTGACCTGACTTGATCCCGTATGACCCAAATTTCATCCAACTAAGTTATTATGCTCAAAATTTTCCTCTGCACGTTTCCGTCCATATCTCTGCTTCCAGACGACAGATCAATTTAAATCAAACACCGTTCGAAGCCAAATTGGCTGCTGCCGCATTTTATGGCTACGCCGCGCAGCAAGTGGCGCAGCCGCTTGTCTATATTACTATTTGAGGAGGGCGTAGTTTCTGTCTATTACGAAGGTCGCGACATGGTGCTACGTAGCGCGGGTTACAGATCACACCGTTGCACCTACCGCGCTGAAATTTGCGCAAGTTTTAGAACAAGGATGGACAACGTGCCTTTGAGCGGTCTCGGCTCGATCGGATCGATAGCGAGCGCGTGGCGCGTGCCCAAAAAGTGCAAATTCGCGTCATAGACTTTACATGTATAAATCGGCTGGCAAAAACGGGCGAAAATGGCTAAATTTGCCCGACACGGGTCCGTTCCCCGTGCAATATCTCGGTAGCCGTGCGCCCGATCGGCACGGGGAAAACAGCATCGTGTAGAGAATCGAACGGGCAATCGAATAGTGTGCGGTGCAGGGGTGGCACGCGCCACGTGCAAGTGTGAGGGCAATTTCATTTCAAAAAGTGCCATTTTAAACGGATTTTGGATTTTATTTTATTTTCCCGTGACCATCAGACTGAGAGAGTTGAAACAACGTCAATTGCCAAGAGAAATGTACCGCCTCTCATGGAAAAATTGTGGACAGCTAATTGATCAAAAACAATGTGGAAAAATCGCTGAATTAAAATGGTATTTGTCCATAATGTGCCACTAAAAAGATACACGGGATTTGCTGCTTAACCTGATACGCTTGACAATTGAAAATGCTATCATTAGAAAGAGCATTCAATTCTCTCCAAGATCCAATCATCACGTTTGCATGACAAGCAACAGTATTCTTAAAAATATAAATGTTTTAAACCTCTGCAAAACGATTTTTAGCGAAAATTATCTACGCCTTTCATTTGTCTTAAAACTACGCACCTCAATTATAAAGCACATTTGACAGATTTTGAAGTAAAAAGCATGCTTATCAGACACGGGCACCTCGATGCGATGGATATTCTTTCCAAACCAAATCATTTAGCCATCAAAAAGCAATCGACCGAAATGGATAGATAACCAAACCGACACAAGAACAACCAAACATCCGTCAATCGAAAATACCCCTTTTCGCGTTGCGGAGCACGCGGGTCACCCTAGTGTCCCTCTATTTAGAAAATAGGGCCAAAGCATCTCATCCAGGATGGATATACACTATACAGTGAACATTACGAGTTAGTGACAACTGACAAGTGCCTTACCTGAATATTTGAATGACAGCAAAATATATAGGTCATTGATTCAATTCAAAAGTTTTGGCAGGTCTTGAAACGACCATTTCCTAGATTTGGTTTAAAGTTTTTCACGCATTCGAAAGCAATCGTGACAAGTTAGGGTCTCAAACAGTTTGGCGCCAACTGTAGTCCGGCGGCCGCGCTGGGGCCGCACCAATCTGCACACCGCCCAAATAGCCTCACGCCTCGGCCCACTGGCCAAAATAGTAAATACCCGGCCAGCGAGGCTATTTGGTAGGTATGTCACAAATTTAGCATTTTTATTTCAACAGTGTAAATTTACAGCCCTTGGAAAATAAACCAATGCAGGACCTGTTAGCGTTAGAAAAGCGCAAAAAATATTTCTGAGAATCAAGATATTATAGTTCCCTTTAGTTCTAACGCGGCATATTTAGCCCCCTCCTTCTACACATGCTTTCGGTCCTCGACCAAAATGACCGACCCTGCATGCCCCAGGGAGCTGAGCGATTGGCCAGCAGAGAAACTCAAGCCCCCGAGCGACGCTAGTATTAAAAACCGACCTCAAATCTGAAGCGAACAGTCTGAACTTCCAAGAAATATCTCAGAAAGCGACAAAACAAGTATAAAAGCTGCTATTTTTAACATAAATGCAGCACCTCTTTTTTAAGACCTCAAATGAAATTGGGGATCTCCCTATTGATTGGCTAGTGGCTACAGATATTTGTTACATTTTAGGTATGTTCAATATTTTACTACAGATACTCAATTTCCCTTATTAAAACCCGCGCCCCGTAGGGGGGGGGGCGAAACGCCCCCCCCCCCCGTCCTTTTCCGTCGATATCTCCTAAACGGCTGGAGATATCGCCACCAAACTTTCAGGACCCCTCCGGGCATCAATTTTACACATTGAGACCGAAAAATTTTCCAGAGGCTATGATAGGTTGGCCACAAATGACGTCAGAATGATGTCATGTTCTGTCATTTAAAAAGACCTTCGAGAGAAGACCTGCCAGGCCTACAGCTTTGAAGACACAGGAAATGATCCAGACATAAAAGGTGTAGAATTGACAGGGCTACAAAACTGCTATCTCGGTTTTTAAGATTTTTGAGTTTTGACCCCCAAAAATAAAAAAAAGCCTTTTTATATATTAGCCAAAAACCCAAAAAGTTTTTTGAGTATCGAAAAACCGGAATATGTGTGATAGTACCTACCGTCTTCTATCTACATACCAAATTTCAGATCGATACCGCGCTTTTTGGCCAAGTTTTAGCGAAAAACTGTTCAAAAATGATGACGTCAAATTTTCAAACTCAATTTGTGGCAATTCTAGACCTCGTAGAGCAAAACAAAGACCACCGACTCCCCGTGACAAGCTGCATCGAATCGATACCCATTTTATGCAAAAATATCAACTTTGAAATTTGACCTAATTTGACCTCACCTTGACCTAACCTTCACCAAAACGTGACCTAGGCTGGCCCCAAAAGCTGCCTAACCCACATAATCGCATTTGTCATGTAAAATGGACCATAAAACATGTATCACACGACACTTTCATATTATGATCCCCGGTGACCTGACCTCGCTGTGACCTGACCTGGTATCAGTGACCTCAGATAGCAAAGTATGTGTTTGATGAACAATGTATGTACCATCGATGGTTTTCAATAAATTACCAGTTTACTCGATTTCACAACACATTTCTTGAAATGCCTGTGAACGGTGAAAATCCGACCTTTGACCTGACCTGTGACGTCATCGGTTTGACCTAGGTCAAAGAAATTTAGTCACAAGGTATTTCCCCGGTGGGACTAACGAACGCCGTTTGAATTTTGAAAATCGGCCGGTAAATTTCCAAGATCTTAGGGGGGGGGGGCGAAACGTCCCCCACCCTACGGATGGTAGGGGCCGCCGATAGCCCGGGCGCGGGTTAATTGATCGCGTGCTTTTAATAGATGCGGTTCGCGGTTGCTGTTGCTATTTTATATCGTTGTACGTTGATGAGCAAAAATGGTGTTATTGATCGTTTTTTATTAAAGATACTTTAATCTATTAACCAATTATTTGTAAATGGCAAAACAAAAATGGCGAGCCACTTTTCGCAGAGGACCCATCATTGAAGCCACGAGAAGTGGCATGCCCCTGGAAACTGTATGAAAAGGAGTAGGTTCTGCGAGAGGCGCCCAGACAACCTCGCCGACGGCTTGCGGGAAGCACTAGCGATGAAGGTGTGCTCGCCGATGTGGGGTCAAGAATGGTCGGTGACTTCGACATTGGACAAGGCCCGCGGCATGAGCCGACTTTACGGTCTCGACACCAATCGACTGGAGCTGCGCCTACGCGTTCAGCAATTGGGAGCATCAGGCCACCGCCCAAAGTCGATGATGCAGACAGCGTAGATAATGGAGTTACACTCTGTACAAAAGTCGTTTTCAAGTTTTTATGGAAAATCAAAATCATCATTGTCAGAGTTTGGAGACAATATGCTCAACTTTCAGCTAAACCGAATGTCTGGTCTATGTAGTTAGGTACTTTAGGTATTTCTATTTTGATTGACCACTGCGGGTCAGAAGAAAACGTTTGCACTAAACCTTCATATTTTGTTGGGATCAGTCTAATGGCACCAGCGATTAGTTGTCCGGCTGAAAGGTTATTTAGTCTCATGAAATTAGATAAGAGTTCCTGCCACCAAAATCAACCAGCAACGCCTCAAGCATGAGGCTTCTGCGCGCCACAACGAGCCAGCAACGCCTCAATTATGAGGTTCCTGCGCGCCACAACGAGCCGGCAACGCCTCAACCATGCAACTAGCATGCATCCCTTGTCTCATATATAAGCAATCAGGAATAGCATAAGGATTTTTTTTAACTGGTGTTGTGTAAATGATATAATCGATAATGCATTACATAAATAATGCGAGAGAACCCTTCCCCGCGTTGCGCAACTGTTAACGTTTGGACATAAACGGCCAGAAGCCTCTGAAGGTTGGGTCTAAAGTGACGTCCCTCACAGATACTATAGGTACTGAGAAGTCCTGCTACGCAGTCACCTCAATGAAAAACGAAGTTACCTATATGCTTAAGATGTCTACCGGCCAAAGCGGGAACAGTGCGTCAGAGTGCCAAAAGCTGAACTTAACTTTTTTGTGTCATTTCTGGCCGACCAAACTGAGCTCTGCTGTTCTTTTGTTCTTTTTTGTTGTCAGTATGTATGTGTTTAACATATGTTTGAAGAGGCCGGGCAATATCGGCAATTTCTTGAGGAGATATCGAGGGAAGACGACAAAGTTCTTTCCGATGGGAGAGGTTCGTAATAACATCAACCAGGGATGAACAAAGCAAGTAAACTTAGTATGCTGTATTTCATTCATCATTACCATCGTCTTCGTCATTTTCCTCGTCATCTTCATCTTCATCCTCGCCATTTCCACCATCTTCAACATCGTCATCATCATCCTCGTGCTGTCCGGCGTCTTCTATCTGTTCACTCACTTCAGTGTCCTCAGTGTCCAGCTGGTTGCTAAGGTCTCGCTTCTTCAGGTCCAGCAGTGGCAGCTGCTCTGCCGCGGACCCGGCACGGCCCGAGCAGGTGGGTATCAGCCAGCCGGGCGCCGGGGACAAGTGGCGGCCGGCGGCCAGCGCGCTGCTGGCGCTCGTCTGCCAGTAGCGCGAGACCAGCGCCATCGCCAGCTGGAGAGCGGCGACGGCCAGCGCCGCTCTGCCGGCCAGCCACAGGTACCAGCCGAACAGGGCCGGCACGCGGCCGCTGCAGCCGGCCGTGAACACTGTCAGGTTGGCCGGTGGCCGGTAGTGCGGCGCCGGCTCGGTGACGAACATCTGCCGGCACCACTGCGGACTCTCCGGGTCGCAGCAGCTGAACGGCACCTCGCTGAAGCCCAGCTGCTTGGCGGCGAGCAGGTCGGCCTGCAGCTGCTGGGAGCTCATCTCCTCCTCGATGGCAGCCGTCACCAGCTGGGCGTGCTGCTCCGAGCCGTACTGCTGCATCGCGAACGAGGCGCGCAGCTGATTTCCGCGCCGCTCTCCCAGTTTGGCGAAACGCTGCCGCTGCCGCACCACCTCCAGATACCTGGCCACGAACAATGTGACCGGGTACCAGTCGACCACAAACCAGTCGGAGAAGCCCAGGGCGCCGCAGCACTGGTAGCGGGCCTGCGTGCGGTCCACGTAACCCTTCAGCGCAGCAGTATCTGCGTACCGCCACAGGGTGCGCGAAAACCCGGCGTGGAAGACGGTCTGGAAGGCGCGCAGCCGCACCTCGACCAGCAGTGCCAGCGCCAGCAGCAGGCCGGCGGCGCCCAGCTGCAGCAGCAGGCACATCCAGCCCAGCGGCTGCGCGGCGCGCCGGCGCGACTTGCCCCGCGCCCGCGCCGAGGTGGCCCAGATCAGGCTTAGACAGCCGGTGGCCAGGCTGGCGGCGCCGCCACCCACCAGCAGGTGTAGCTCGCGCAGCAGCGCTCCTTTGGGCAGCACGGGCACGTGCTCGTCCAGCCGCGGTCTCAGGAGGGCGGCGATGACCACCAGGACCACTCCGGCGTTGATGGAGAGCGCGGCGAGCAGTAGCAGGAGGGTGAGCAGCAGCTGCCGACAGCCCTCGGACAGCGTGATGGACGGCACGCCGGACATCCTGAGCGGCCTACTCAACTGGGCACGCGGCCATGGCGAGCGCCACCTGCTCAGCTAGGCTGCCTCCACATAGTAATGCTTCAACCGCTTGAATTGGCGGTCAGAATCAGAAAAAAAAATCGTCCTACGCAACACAAATGTTACTTTTTCTTCACTCAATTATTCATAACGCATGTTCCGACACAGCCTTGTTTGTCAGCCCGCCACTGCTACAAAATAGCGAAGCAAGCTGGACAGGCAGCAAGATGCCTGCACTGTGTGAGATTGAATAAAACATCCCATCGGATCATATCAAACAAATGTTAGCGATATCAACCAAGCCTCTATTCTAACCAATCCTGAGCAAGCATTGGCTTTAACGCTGTCGAAAGGCTCGTGCAATGCTTGCTATCGCTCTATTGTCCTTTCGGTTCACTCATACCTATAGGTGAAACTTGAAAGGACCTATAACCAATTACCAAAATATCTATGTAACGCTCAGAAGCCCTACAGCAAAATATCGAGCAACAAGCTGCCTACAAATCCAACAGGATGCCTACTGAAAAAAGTAGTCAATACTCAATGGTAGGTATGGTAGGTATCCATGGTATGGTATGTATTGTATACCTAATGCATATGGTATGGGCAATGGTAGTGGTAACATATAGGGAAGGTCCGTTTTGAAAACTAAAGTTGCTGGAAGTCCAGAACGGTGCACCATGCTCCGTGGCATGGAGACTGGAGATGCTGCACTTCAGATTCAAAAGCAACGCAAAAGTTGTGAAGGCAACTTTTGCTTTTTTTAGAATACTTCATGGCATGACAACAGTTTGGCGTAAATCCAATCGAAAATATTTGTAGAATCCTCTAGCAAGTCTTCAGAAAAGAAAGGCCTATACGGTCAGTTTCGTCAGAAGTGTGAAACATCTGAAGCCACCATGAGTCAGCATTCATATCTGCAATTTTTGTCTTATATTGTGACCAGTTTGCCGATTAGGTACATGTGTCATTACATGGTGTTTCAGACGATATCTTCGGACAATAAAAAGAAGAAATTGTAATTAATTTTTCGCTGTTATACATTGATCAGCAATGTTCGGTCAATTCTGGGACACCCTGTAGGCACGCACCACAGGTGGGCGGCGGGCGCTGTCGTGCAGGCTGCTACGCCCTCGGAGTCGGCACGCTGCCGTAGTCGGCAGAACGCCGGAACGGTCGGCGGCGGTCACACCGCGCCGTGCACGTCAGTCAGCAAGGCGCGGACGACGGACGGGCGGCTGAGCGGCTGTCACCGCGCGCAGGGCCTCCCCCGCCGACAGACAGACCCGCTGTCGTACATCTTCAATCAGCCGAGATACACCGATCGTCACAGACGGACCACGGCCACACCATACACCAATTATATGCAAATTACACTGAGCGACGGGGACCGGCGCTACGTCCAGCGCGCATGCGCGTCGCGGGCGGGTGAGTCAGTGGCGGCGGCGCGGTTGCGGCTGCGGCTGCGGTGCGGTCGTCATTCATAGTGGTGCCGCCGCCGCGCGTGTAGGTGGGAGGCCGTGCCGCGCCGCTGCAGTGCAACCCGTGCTCTCTCGCGCCCGCGTCCGGCCGTCGGTGCGAGGCCGCCGGTGCCGCGCCCCCGATGCATCTGACGGAGGACCTGCTGTTCGCCGGCTACCAGGAGCGTCAGCGCGGCGCGATCATGAGCGGCGTGGCTCCCGAGCTGTACCTGAGTGAGCGCACCTACAACCAGGTGGCCACCGAGCACGGCCACGAGCTGGTGCGCACCGGGTCGCCGTGTTTCGTGTGCACCTGCCTGCCGGCCCACTGGCGCTCCAACAAGACGCTACCGGTGGCGTTCAAGGTGATCGCGCTCGGTGAGGTGGCCGACGGCACCGCCGTCACCCTGCGCGTCGGAAACGACGAAAACCCCTGCGGCGAGCTGCGCAACAACATGGCCTTCATCAAGAACCAGGTGGCCAAATTCAACGACCTGCGCTTCGTCGGACGCAGCGGCAGAGGTGGGTCCAGAGCATTGGCTCGCTTTGCGCGGAGTTATCGCGCTGACAACCGGCTGAGCTGCCGATAGACACGGCTCGGTACGGCAGGGAGGGCCCCCACAGCCGTGCTCGGCACGGCAGGGGGAGCCCTCCCAGCCGTGCTCGGCACGGCCGGCCGTAGGAGCCGCCGACACGGCCGTACCGAGACGCGGCATCCGGCGCGGCGTGCGGCCGTTTCCGCCGTGTCTCTCACAGCCACTGCGTGGGGTGCCTGCTGTGTGGACGTCCCGCTGAGTCACGCTCTGGCAGGCCTACGGGGCGCCGTGCACGGCCGCTACTTCCAGAGAGCGCGCCGACACGTCACACCACTGAATCGTCCGGTCGGCCTGCACGGGACTCGCCGTCTCAATCCCATGCGCAGGGTCCGCTCCCTCTCATGGCACACGGCGCGCCGCATCTTATGCCAGTGGCCCGCTATTTTCCCTGCATGGGGTCGGATGACATTTACCGAGCCATGCCTATATTCGTCATTGACGAGCCACGTGTCACATATACATCCGCTCTGTGGAAATGAAAACATCGCAGTGACAAGGATGCTGGCAAGTACAGAGATTTGTCGATGTCAAATGACATCAGTCAGTCGCACCACTCAGTGCATGACATCACTCGGTGGTGTTATCAGCACATGACATTACTCAGTCGTGCCTGCACTCAGTTCAATCCATGACACCACTCAGTTGTACCACACAAGCAATGAAGACGTCACATCTCACTTCTGCATGTCACTTCATCGGTCTATCGACGACAATATGTTGATAAAGAAGCCGTAGGCTGCCCTAGGTGTGATCAGTGGGTGGCATTTGACCTATCGGTCGGCAAAACCGGACCCATGGGCCTTAGCCGCAGCCATGTCTGCAAAGCATCCATCCCTTCGGTAAATGCTCCCTCAAAAGATGTTTGTATATGTTATGAGAATAAGTAGTTACCCATTCTATCATCTGCACATTAAAAACACAATTTAGTTCTCCCTATGCACTTGTGATTACTCTTACAGAATAAACTTGCCAAGCTCATTGGTTTGCCTGCTGTTTCACACCTGTGGCAGAATTTTTCGATTATGAAATGCTATTCATTTACACTAAATGTAGCGCAGATAATTGTTGTATCAACTGAGCATGGCTGTGCATAGTGGTGATATTGGACCATCTGCCAACCGTACAAAATGCACAGTTATAGGCATAGGCAAAAAAAAAATGCATTGGCAATCCATAGGCCTATCCCGTATGCGTAGGGCATAGGGCTATGCTAGGATATTGGGATGGTAAGTCGCGAGAACGTTCCGATGTAGTCACGTTTGCGATGAAAAGGGCAATGTCAAACATTGAATACGATCGATATTTAGGTACTATTTAGGATGTTTAGATCGACAAGTGTTGAGTGTTTAGGAAGGCCTTGTAATAAAATATTCAATTGTTTACAACTAAGACTGAAGTTAAATATGGAAAAATGAGGTATTGCCCGACGTTTCGTGTTTATTGCTTATTCATGGGTACATAAGATGATTCATGGGCATCCTACATGCCATGAATAAGCAATAAATGCGAAACGTCGGCAATGCCTAACTTTTTAATACCTGACTTCAGTCTTAGTTTTAAACAAATGAATACCTATAGTAACCCGCGCCCCGTTGGGCTCTGCCGAGCAACGCGCCCTGTTGGGGGGGGGGGGGCAGTTTGCCCCCCCTAAGATCTCGAGAACCACGCAACCTAGCGACAAGCCGCAAACGGTGTTGAATTGCCCAATCAGGGAAATACCTTGTGACTTAATTTTATTGACCTAGGTCAAACCGATAACGTCACAGGTCAGGTCAAAGGTCGAATAATCACCGTTTACAGGCATTTCAAGAAATGCGTTGTAAAATCGAGTAAAATGCATTTCATTGAAAATCATCGATAGGGAAATGTTCTTCAAACACATATTTTGCTAGTTGAGGTCACTGATATCAGGTCAGGTCACAGAGGTCAGGTCACTGAGGGTCACAATATGAAAATATGTGATGCATGTATTATGGTCCATTTTTTATGCCAAATACGATTATGTGGGTCAGGCAGCCTTTGGGGTCAGTTATGATTATGTTCTGGTGAAGGTCAGGTCAAGGTCAGGTCAAGGTCAGGTCAAATTAGGTCAAATTTCAAAGTTGATATTTTTGCATAAAATGGGTATCGATTCGATGCAGCTCGTCACGGGGAGTTCAATGGTGCTCTTTGTTTTGCCCTACGTGGTCTAGAATCGCTAAAAATTGAGTTAAAAAATTTGACGTCATCATTTTTTAACAGTTTTTTCGCTATAACTTGGGCAAAAAACGAGATATCGATCTGAAATTTGGTATGCATATAGAAGAGCGCAAGTACTATCACATGTATTCCGTTTTTCGAAATTCGGATTTTTTGGATTTTTTAGTTTTTCTAAAAAATCATTTTTTTAATTTTTAGGGGTCAAAAGCCAAAATTTTAAACATCTGAGATAGCAGTTATGTAGCGCCGCTTTTTGTCTACATGACCATATAAAGAACTTTGAAATTGCTTGGTAACTGTAGATTTGGTGAGCGTTTCAAGATTGCATGTTTTTTGCTCATATTTTTTGCTCGAACATGACCTCAGTTTGACCTCAATAACTCCTGACCTAAGGTGACCTAAGACTTGAAATTTTGTGTGAAGGTGTCAAATTGATGCCCGGGAAGGTACTGAAAATTTGGCGGCGCTGCGCGCCGCCGTTTTCTTGCTATTTAGGCAAAACAACAGGGGGGCAAATTGGCCTCCCCCTAATGGGGCGAGGGTTAAAGGCCTATCTAAACGCTCATCAACTATCGATATTCGTGATTCAATTCCTTTGAGCCGCATGCACTTACATATACCTAAATAGCACGGTGATGATTCTATCTAAAGCAGCATCCTGATTCCTAGCTCTTAGCAAAGTATTCCAATTCGACTTGGATGCTTACATTCTGTTGACCATTGAAGTGATGTGTAAATTACAGGTTACAACTTCTTTTGGGTAAAGTAACTGAAGGGTATTTACCCGCGCACGACTGCGGTATTTTCATAATGCTAGAGACTGAGATGTGGACTCGACAGAACATTCATTACCTCCGCTCCGAAACTGCTGATCCGATTTTAAAATTTCAACGACATTTGATATCCCTGGAAAACTGTCGACTAAAACCTAATTGTATTGGCCGCGAGGTCACCGATGACGTCCCACGTCAGTTCAAAGTAATAATTATCGTCATTTAGGCATGTTTACTCTTCGGCCTCTGGCCGTCGCCAAATCAGACACATTGAGTAGGTACATATTTGATTTACTCTCTCATAAATGTGTGCCGAAGATATGGTAACGAGGTCGTACTTTGTATGTTTCTGGTCAACGCTATAGGTCAGGGTAGGTCACACATTATCGTGGAAATTTTAAGGCTTGTATAGGTCATGCGGCACATGTTTTATGGTCTATTTGGCCAGAGTTCGAAAATAGTGTCATCTAATGCCATCTGAAGCCATTTGCAGCTTGCTTTTGCGAAGTTCAGGTCACGGTCAGATAAAAAGGTCAAATTTTGAAGTTCAAATTGTTGAATAAAAATCTGCCTATAGGATGCAGTTTATGCTCAGGAACACGGTGGTATTCTTTGTTTTGGTATGCGATGTCACACGCATTACAAATTGCAGCCGAATTGTTGCTATTGGTGAATGCCTTGGCAACTGACTACGGCAAAATATGCAAGCAAATAAGGTGTATTTTTTTAAGAAAAGGGGCTAAAACATTCTACATAGATTAGGTTGTCCGTATGTGTTCGATCAAATATGTTCCGGCGTTCCGCCTCTACTCAAACTCAAAGATAACTTGCAAAAAAATGCAAAATGTAGTGTGGGCATAATTTAGTTATGCGTGTAGCATAATTTCCAAAGTTCTTAATTGTTTTTAGCTCAAAAGCTGTGATCTTAAGAGAGATTGTCGTGAGCCCATGTTTTTGCATCAAAATCGGTCGATCATTTCTTCACTCTGACGTTATTTTATTAAAATTTGACCCATTTATGGTAGCTGCGCAATTTTCCTTTGGACATAAGGTGTGACATTGATATAACCGAGAGTAATGAAACTTTCGTGTCGATATGTTCATCGTTTCGCAGATTTCAGGAAAAAACGGGATGGGGCTCTGTAGAGTCCCCCCCCCCCCTTTCCCCAGTCATGCGATGGTTAACAGGTGAAAATGCGACGAATCCGTTTAATTTTATTTTGGGGGAATACCTCGGGTTGTACACATAATAAATCATTTTTATTTACCTTCATACATGCTCATTTGGTCAGATGCAACAGCAATGAGCCGTTACCAGAATGTTATGTTATTATGTATGTTTCGACATGGGTGTAGGTAGAAGCAAGCGCCTTTGGTTGGTATGGATGATTTGTTAAGGAAAAGATCTGAATGCTTATTGTATGTCAACCGTAGTTTCTACATCCTCATTTTTGCGGCCCATGAATCTTCAACTGATCGCTGCTGCCCAGTGAAGATCATTTTGACCCAAGACACATCAAAACATTGGCAAAGGACGCATACTCCAGGAAAGAAATATAGGCGATAGATTTTCCACTCCTTCCCTGCCATCAGTCTACTGAAATGTGCACTGTGCCGCTTATCCAGCAATAAAGCGTACCTACCTAGTAAACGTCAAGACACAGCTGGACAGACTGTTCGGGACCTGCGTGATGTGCGGCACAGCCTACCATTGCAGTCACATGGTCAACCGGAGTCGGGAGGCATCGCCACCTGTCATCTGCATCTAAATTTCGCATCCCTTGCTTTGTGGTGTAAAGGAAACAAATTGGCAGACTGATTGAAGGAAATGATAGCCTCATGCCTTCTGTATTGTTTCCGAACACCTGTCGGCCAATGAAAGTGAAGACATTCGCGCGCGGAATATCAAGTAGGTACCGGCTACGCTGCCGTATTCTCCGCGATACCGTGTCTCATGACTGGTGCACCGCCCTCCGATCAGCGCGCTGCAGCCCAGCACGGCCAGCACCGGCTGGTGCGCCGGCCAGCCCGTTCGTGGTAAACCGGCCGCGGTGGCAGACGGCCGTGACTGTCGGCTCACCGCTCCCGTGACGTCACGACACGGCGTGACGTCACCGGCGGCCATTGGAGCCGCGGACGCGGCCGGAAGGGCCGGGCCGCCGCTGATACCGCGTGGCCGCCGTGACAACATTAGCACCACATCCTTCATCATTATCATAATGCGAATTTAAGCCTGATCAAAACATTAGCCGGCACGGGCTAGTCACGATCGCAATGAAGTCAACAATGTGTGCACCGTGCAGCATGCAGACATCTTGACATCTTAACTTCAGTTCGGGCCGCAGCATGCCGCAGAGATTATGCCGCGTAAGAGCATAACAGAGTTGTTTTCTGGTTCGTTTCTGTCAGCAGTGTGCGGCGTGCGCGGGGTTTGAGGCTGTCCCATTACAATCCCGGACATTGGGTATTTGCTACCCAGCCCGGAGCTTAACCCGCGCGGGGCTGGGGGGGGGGTAAATTTTACCCCCCCTCGCGAATTTTTGCAATATCTCAAAAACGGCGGCGCGCAGCGCCGCCAAACTTTCAGTACCTTTTCTTACATCAATTTGACACGTTCCCTGAAAATTTGAGCGAAATCCGTCGGAAAATTTTTGAGAAATTGACGTTTTAGTGACGTCATGTTCGCCATTTTCGCCTCAAAAACGGCAAAAGTTCAAACGCCGCTAACATCTTCATTTTTAAAGGAATCAAGACGTAACAAAAAGGATATACGTAATTTTACTTTGTCTATCAAATGGCTATCTCGGTTTTTGAAAATTTTGGATTTTGGCCCAAATTTTTTAAAAAAACTGACTTTTTTGGAAAAATAGCTATAAAATCCAAAATTTTTAGTGTATCGAAAAAAACGGAATATATGTCAGAGAAGTGGTCTATGTGCACCTACATACCAAGTTTTAGACGAATCGGTTCAAAAATGTGGGAGTTATTCAAAATTGTATGACGTCACGACACACAAAATTTTTGAAAAATGACTTTTTTGGAAGTTCTAGACCTCGTACGGAAACAAAAGTAGCACCATTCGATTCGCCGTGAAAAACTGCATCAGATAGACACCTTTTTAGGCCTTAACAACCAACTTCAAAATTTGACCTCACTTGACCTGACCTTGACCTGACCTCGACCTGAAATTCATCCAGAGGTAGTCCATATCACTTATTGAGTGTGCCTATTGAATTCTATGAGTAAAATGACCCATAAAACATGTGACGCACATGCCTTTTTCTATATTTTGTTTTTGGTGACCTGACCTGACCTGACCTGACCTTGACCTTGACCTCTGAATGATATTGTATGCAACGAATATTGTCTTGGTAGCCTAAGAACACGTTTTGGGCGATCAGTCTCAGTCCATGACTCCATTCTTCGGCAACTACGGTGCAAGGCCGATACTGTAGGAACTTGCAATTTGTACCCTTGACCTGACCTTGACCTTGACCTCAAACTTAAAATTAAGTACATGTTATTAGTTGTTCGTGATGAGATCTTTCGATTGGCGTTTGAATCTTCCAAATCGGACCATTAGTTCGGGAGATAACAGGGGGGGTAAAATTTACCCCCCCCCCCCCCAGCCCCGCGCGTTCGGCTGGAGACCCCAGCCCCGCGCGGGTTAAGGCTCCCGTTCAATCAAAGCAGCTGAAATGGATACATCCGTGGGAGTGCAAAAATTTATTGTTTTCTCTAGTTGGCAGCTGAGTGTACGGGTCTTTAAGTCGTACTCCTCTCCATGGGCTTAATTCAGTGGTGTCTTACTGTCTTGAGGCGCTGGGCCCCCTGGCACGTGCTATGTGTGTATGTACCGGTGGACGTGCCATTGCTCGTGCTGTGTGACACCTGGCTTATGTGCTGTGTTTTACGGATTACAATAGTGTTGCGTTGTGTCTTTTCGTGGTCCTGTCTGACGCCTCGCTCGTGTGGTGTTTGTGACATGCAGCAGTGTCTTGTCGTGTAGCATGCGGCAGTGGCACAGGGGCACATGTGCTGTGCTGCCTATGTCTTACCGTAATCATGTGTCTACCCTCGGTGCCGTGGGCACCTCGCCCGTGCGCTGTATAACTGTGTTTGTCAGTGCCGTTCGTGTGTTGTGTTTGGCGACCGTATCGTGTGGCGGCTGTCGCCCGGCCTCCCACAGGTCTCAGTCTCCGCCGCCACCTATCCACTTACGGTGAAAACACGATTAGTAACGTGACCCGCCTGCGCCACGGCGTCGGGCTGCCGCTACTGCCACGTTCCTGGTCCCTGCTGCCGCCTGCAGTTTTGGTTCCTGGATACATGCAGACCCAAACCAGGCCCAGCCACTATCCCGACTGTAGTCAAACATCAATAAAAATTGTGCCCGACATATATCGCAACGCACATCTTGTAAAAGTGAAATCAATTGTAAAAGATATTTCATTTGTTACTTTAATGTCTGGATTGTTTTCATTTTTAGCGAATTTTGATTAGACTCTAGGCGGATCCACCGGTACGCAATGTGACTTTGCAGACGCGGTGATGATTTATTACCGAGATATTCACTGTTGAGTCCCGTGCTGTCATTAGCGAGCAGGGAGGGTGATCTGTCCGAGGCCTGTTTTCTCCTGGTGTACACAGTCCCAGCAGAGTAAAATGGCTGCTGCCGCTGCCGCTGCAGCTGAGGAAATGCCATATCTGTGATGGCCGTCCATGTTCCAGCTGACATTGGAACAGGTAGCTGCATGACGCTCAGAAATGCACGGACGCTGCTGTATAAGCCGATTACAGGAGAGAGGTAAAAATTATACCATCGCTGCATTTCTGCAGCAGCGTTTTTCCTTTTGGTAGCATGGTCGGTACACGTGAATCCCTGCACAGGCTCCGTATCAGCCATGTTGGCTGTCAAGTCCGCGGGCGGCCGGCTGTTGACGGTTTTTACTCGGATGTCTCTTCCCTCTCCCCGGCCCATTGCTTCGGACAGCCGAGATGCTAAAATCGGACCTGACTGGCCAGGCCACTGACGGCCATAAATCGAACCTCTCTGGCCTCTGACGTTCATTAATCGGACCTCTCTGGCCTCTGACGTCTAGCAAATGAGCATCACTGTTCATTGGCGATTATCAAACGGACCTCGCTGGCCACTGCTGCAGTTATTCAAATCCATCTTCACTCGTCTCTGCTTTTAAACGGACATCATAGATATTTTGATATCATTTATGAAATATGAACATAAATTTACCCGTTTTTAAGTATTCTAATTTGGCATCTGTAAGTGGTCTGCAATTGACCTTATCTGACCGTATAAGTGTAGTTTAGTCGGGTATCGGCTTAAAACGTATCAGCGCTGAAGATGTGACCACTGACCAGAGTAGTTAATAATTTAATGTAAGATGTGATCTTACATAAAATTATGTGTACAGTTACGACAGAACCAGGAACAGCTCACGTTGTTCCTTGTTTGCACATATTTCGCTCTGTGGTCTGTGCCATCCTTGCACTAAATACGTTCTCTTTTTCAGGGAAGAGCTTCAACCTGACCATCCAGATCTCGACATCACCTCCTCAGATAATGACGTACAACAAGTGCATGAAAGTCACCGTCGACGGACCTCGGGAACCACGCAGCAAAACTCGTGAGTACCTTACCCGTGCAGTGGTCTGGCCCTTCGTCTCAGTGACATCAAGTCCTTTCATTCAGGACACTAACACCATGGGTTACCCGAACCAATTGGCTGGCACCTGAAGGGATATAGGGTAGGTACCGTGGCCTCCACTTCTCTAGAGTTTTGCTGTTTATTTCTAAGGGAGATGACCATTGTGAATAAGGGCTAGTATTTTCCATGACCCCGATCGGGACCCCATCCGTCGGCCTAGCAGTCGGCTGGCAGCCTTTGCCATGAGCGTACTCGCTGCCCGCTGCTCCCGCTGTTCCCTCCGTCCGCCGCTCCCTACATCTTGGAATTACCAATACAAACCGATTCCGATTTTATTTTTGATAGATATAGTAAAACTGACCTTTTAAATCAAGTGATAAACACCAGTTTTATTACACCCTATGCTTACATAAAGACGAAATCATGCCACATAAATGCCACTTAAATGTACATATTTCAAAGACGCAAAATGAGACAACGGCTTCGTGAAAAGCACGTCATTAGCCACGCTATCCTCTGTTATTTGCGCTTTTTGTTTAGCATAATGTGTTGTAATAGTATTTGGCATATAAGCGGAATAATTAGATACCTAATCAAAATGCTTTATAATAATAAGGTAATTATAATACTTTAATTCGCCAATGGTGAAGAAGCTTCTTTAGCCGGGATCCGGATACCTAGATGGTACATCTCTGTGGTGTCGGATTTGAAACGCACTTCCAGTCTTGCCCAACTTCCTTTGGTTGGATTCCAATTGGTTTACGTCTTTGTTTTTGTTGTGTTCTGTTTTTGTTTTTCTTTTTTATTTTGCTTCCTCATCCTCTTGCAAATGCCGGTTACGGTATGTAACGTTCAATCACAAAAATATGGATTTTATTGCTTTTGAAGTCTCTGAATGCCGTTTCCCAGTGGCGATTTAGACTAAGGTGGCGGATGCCGTATTTCCGGTGGCGATTCAGAGTTCAGACTAAGGTGTCGAATTTGACTGATCCCCAGTAGCGATTTAGTCTAAGGTGTCGGATGCCCGCGCGTCGGCGTCGTTTCATGTCGCACGGGCCGCCGGCGGTGGGCGGAGCCGAGGGCGGGGCGATCGGCTGCCAGCTAGACGATGGCCGCCATTCGGGCCTTACTTTCACTGCTGTATCAGAACGATTGTATTCCACGTAAATGGATTGTAAATATTCTAAATATACATTATCACAATTATTTAATCTTGTTCGTCTAAACGGGAGCGGTCGCTTAGGGGAGAGCGGGGCCAGTTGAAACACGGGGTCAGATGAAACATGGCTTTATTTTCAACAGTATGCAACATATGGCGTTGCCGACACCACTGCGCATCCGCGCTCGACCACTTCCTTTGTCAACGGCGTTTGGGCGGCAAACGGACGGTAATTTTGATTTGACACTTGTTTTTGTGTTTTTGAGGGGCGTTTGGGAGAAATCGTTTTTATGAATATTTTGTGATATCTCATATGCCTTTGTTTGCTGAAAGAAGAACTCCTGGCTCCGGAATAACACCTTATTTGGCCCTTCATTCAGCATGATGCCGTCCCTCCAGCTCGTTTGACATGTGCTTTACGGCACGTGCGAGATGGCGGGAGCGGATGGGGTCAATTGAAACGCTTCTCGGAGGGTCGGTTGAAACAGGGCCACAGGCCGTTTCAATGGACCCCGGTGACCTTTGCAATGGCTATTGTTCAGGGGCTGTAAACATTAAAGGAAATAGTCCACCTTTGAAATGAGCTTTTAAACTGAAATAGTAGTTTAATAGAGCTCAATTTTTGACCCCTTTTTCTCCAGCCTTTTGCTTGAAAGCACACTATAGTCTGATATATTTCTCATTTTTCTCATCCGCCCATTTTACCATAGTCTATGTACTTTATGTCACCTATTATGAGGAACTTTGCACTTTTAGCTTTCCAACGACCTATTGAATGTAGCATTTGGAAAAGTAAACCGGACAAAATATCTCCTTAAGAAAGTGGCCTTAAAGAGGAGAACATCCCATTGTTAAGGATAGGTGCAATTGACCCCATGGGCTGGTTCAATTGACCCTCGCATCGGGGTCATTTGAAACGGGCGTAGAGCTGTTTTATAAGCATGCGTTTGGCAGCAAAATATGTTTGAAACATAATTTTACATATCTTAGAATAAAGCCAAAAGAGCATATTTTTTCATGGCATTGTGCATTTTTCGATATGACAACTAGATCTCGCTGTGCATGTCAATATATAAAAAGTGGTTCAACTGGCCCCGCTCTCCCCTACAGGAGCTGAGGCTGATAACCTTTGAGCGAATTTATTTTATAATTTAAATACGTAGTGATATAATCAGATGCAATTATGGCAGCATTGTGAGTAATGCTGCAGTAATTCCAGAGGCTCTGACTTTTTACCGGGGTCACGTATTACCGTCCGATTTATTTAAAATAGGTATATTTAAAAGACATCTTTAATTTCAAAAATCCGGACAGCAGTATTTTCTGAGAGAATGTTTGGGCCGACGAAGCATAGGCGGCGGAACGGGGAGGGCACCGGGGCACCGTACCCCCTTTGATTTTGGCATTTTAACATCAGCCCTATGGGCGTTACATGAAAAGAATGGGACCAAAAGTCGGCGGTGCCCCCCCCCCCCCCTCCCCTTAATTGAAGGTGTTCCGCCGCTACTGCGACAAAGTGAAAACTTCGTGGAGCAGCTGTTCTGTACGTGCATGGTCGTAGAAACTAGAAAGGAACGCTAAGTTATGGAATGACTCAACAACTGCTGCGTGCAGTCTACATTTGGACCATCGTTCAGCCTACGTTTCTTCTGGTGAGGGAACATTATCAGGCGTTTTTAGCTCTTCTTTATATTTACTCAAATTTAAGTTAACTCAACATAAATAGCTGCAATATGTTTTTCTTGGTCATTTTGAAGGACAATGTACATTAAAACGACTCTTTAAATCGCCACATCGTTTCGTGTTAGTGAAATTGGTGCTGCAAAGCGACAATTAAAAAGATATTTTGCGAAACGAAATCAATTAACCTAAGAAAAATTCACGATCACAAAGCTTATAAAGTGTTATGGGTTTTCCCTTGCTACAGGTCTAAGAGAAGTGGTATACCCATATCTGTCGTGTAAAAGATAGCTTGCACTTTTTATAGTCTTATTAGATAGCTTAGCTTAACTCCGCCATGACGGCATTGAAGGGAAACAAATCCCTGTAAATCAGTAAGCACTAAGCTCCCAGCTCTTTCAACACTGATAGCGCTGTAGGTTGTCGGAAACCCAAACCTTTTCACGTCAGATTTATCCAATCTTTTCATCAAGTTTTGAATAAGTTAACCCTCGCCCTGGCAGGGCATTTTTCATAACACGGCCTGGCAGGGGGGGGGGGGTCGATGCGACCCCCCCTCGCGATTGGCTCCTATGGCACCTAGAAACACCAAATTTGGTAGGTAGGTGGGCCCCCTGGAGTTCTCGCCCCTGTGCAAATTTGGTTGCTCTAGGTCAATATTTAGGGGGGTTTTGGGGGGTATAAATGTAAAAATTTCGCTAAAAAACGGTCAAAAGTTTTTCGCTTATAACTTTTGATCTAATTAAGATAGAGCAAAAAGAAAAGCACCAGTGAACTCAGCACGTCAAGGCGCGTCGAATGATATACTTTTTAACTTGCTTAAGTGTACTTAAAGTTTTTCTTAAATTTTAAGTAAACTTAAATTAATAAATTAAGTTCAAGTTAACCAAATTGCATCATATCGCATATCATTCAATTCGACTGATCACCAGGAACACAATGATACCATTTTTTAAGCTCTAGCGTTATTATGTGCCAAGTTATTGGCAATAACGTCATTTGACCTCAGTTGACCTCATTTGACCTGACCCATGGATAAGTACACCAAACAAAGAAGCACCAAGTGACCTGCTGTTAAGTACCGTGGTTTCAAAGCACAAAAGTGATAGAACGAAGCGGATATCTCCAGTATTTTCCGAATTTAGTATTTTCCCATAGGCTTAACATTACGACGTAATGACCTCTAACTGACCTCAGGTCAGTGACCTCAAAAAAGCCGGACTATATGTTATACAACTCGGTGAACTTAGCACATCCTGAAAGTTTGAAGGAAATCAGTCAAAAACTGTGAGTTGGACAGGTGCAAAAAGAAAATTAAAATTTGACCATGACCTTGTACCGGTTTTTCTGACCTGGTGACCTGACCCAAGGTCACCCGGACCTGAAATTTTCAGGTCATATGTAAAAAGGTTGCCCCATAGGCTGTGCCAAATTTGGCGGCGCTGCGCGCCGCCGTTTTTACGCTATCTTCGAAAAACCTTAGGGGGGGTCGCATCGACCCCCCCCCTGCCAGGGCGAGGGTTAAACATCTAACACCATCGTGAAAAATTGTTTGGATGTAGCAACTTAAAAGGACAGGCATAAATTATATCATGCATTGACCATTTCTGGTTCCGGGAGTCCTCTATTGTTAGGCTACAAACATTAAGGACGGAATATCTGAGCAATTAATCACCGAAACGCCTTATATGCCATAGCAGCGAACGGCATGTCCCAGGTGGCCTCAATTCTCATAGCAACGAGCGCCAGACCACACGGTCACACATGGCCACCCTATATAATCTGTGAGTATCGACGCCGCCATCGTTCAGATGACTAATGACGTTTGGGACCAGTGGAAAAGCACACAGTTACCGCCGCTCATAACTTGGCCATCGATTTCATCTTGTGCCCTCTCATAACAGGCGGCTTGATGGGGCAACTCGTGCCTGGGTCAAGCGCTGGTGCAGCTTCAAAAACCTATCCTTGCCATTATTTCGGCATCCTTTATCGCTAAATGTCCTACCACTCAGGTTTGTTTTGAATGAAAACACAATTTTAAGGTATAGCGCGCTTAGCAATTGAACTCCTTCGATCATTACGGAGCGAGCGAAGCGAGCGTAGTCTTTCCTTAGATTAACGGAAATTTCTGAGTATGAGC